CCCTTTGAAGGAACCCTTATAGTACCCTTTGAAGGAATCAATGCGACGCCAAACAGCACGGATTTGTCATCCAGCGGCACAGGGCTTGGCGGGTCGCAGCTTCAGAGATTGGGGTCCCGGACCAACCTTGAACCCCTTTTTAAGGGGTTTAGGGTTTAGGGTTTAGGGTTTAGGATTAGGGTTTAGGATTTAGCGTTTAGCAACCCTATTATAGAACGACATGAAAAAAACCCTCATCGTAGAAAGTTTGGGGTATCATTCTTCAAAGCTGTTTCGGCACACACCAAAGATGCGGTCCTCCGTCTCCTGAGATGCAGAAGACAGGAACAGACATGTTTCGGGGAGGGACTACCCGGTTTCCCGACGACCCACCTCCAGAAAGGTCTCTCCGTCTGTCGGGGACCCTTTGCGTAAGTTCCACCATATAACCCCTACACCCTAAACGGCCCTAAACACTAAGCCCACATGTTAAGGGCCCACAAAGACTCGCATGTAGACAGAGAGTGCGGCTGGGGCTTAGGGTTTCAAAATCAGAGTTTTCAGGTGTTGCGCCTTCACCTAAACCCCCAACCCTATCTCCAAAGAGCGGGCTTGCAGTTGGTACGGAAAGTCCCGTGGCGTTCGGCTTGGGGGCTCAGGCCTCAAATGGTTTCGTCATCCCTCCAGCAGCTTGCTCGACTACTCTTGCGTACAAGGCCGCGGGCGATGGACTGTCGCCACCAGTAACCCCAAACCCTACAAGGCAACCCGAGACCCTACAAAGTAACCCAAAACCCTGCAAAGTAATCCCAAACCCTACAAAGTAACCCCCAACCCTACAAAGTTAGTAGGTTGTGACCCCTTAACTCTAGGGCAGAGCCCTAGTACAGCAGGCTGTTGGATCCCCAGATAGCCCTATATACCGTAAAACCCTAACCCCTTTATGCCCAAGGTAAGGCTTGGCAAGAATTCAAAAACCATATACCCTGTTTTGACGGAACCCGCCAAATTCTACACTCTGGGCCCCTCACCCCAAGTCTATTATAGTTTAACATGGTCTAGTATTATTCTGATATGTTAAAGTAAAGTACGGTCTGTTATAGCCTGTTATTATTCTAGTCTGTAAAAGACGTCTCTGAAAGTCGATTAAAGCATGTTTTGGTGTACTACAGTCTATGAAAATACATGATGGCAGCCCAAAACCGTAAACCGCCCAAACCACGGCCAGGCGTAGGGCTCACACTTAGACTCTCTCGATCAAACCAAGGATCCCAGTAAAACCCTGGACCCGCCACCCTAAATCCTGTAGGCTAATTGAACCGTAGCAAGCCTCTCCGAAACGCACCCAAAGCTTGCACGTGGCCGCGAGGAGACTGTACGAAAAGTTCGATGCCAGAAAGGCGTCGCAGTGTCTATATCCCACCATGAGCCACCACGCACATTATCGTCACAGCCCAGAGACGAAGCTATGCCCTCAAGCCCTAAAGAATTCTAGAACCCTTTCGGGATTTCGGGTTCAAAGTGCAGGCATTCACTTTAGGGGTTTAGGGGAGCTATAAGAGCGCTCCTTTCAAGGGGTCTTATGCCAAACCCAGAGGGTAAATCCCACTGCAGCATTGGATCCAACTTGCAGTCCACGGTGAAGTCTTCAATATTTTGGAGCATGCGCCTCAGATCACAAGAAAAGACTCACCTAGATCAACCTCAAGGAGCATATCTCATGCGGATCGCAAACCACCTCCGGGGTTCTACGGCTCTCGCTGCTGCTCTGACTGCTTCTGGCTATTACAACTGCAAGCGCCTATACTCGTAGGGACCCTTACGGGGGCAAGGGGGAGGGGGGTAGCGTACTGTACTTCCTTAAATAGGCATAGGATCCTTTGATATAACACGACCACGAGCACCAATCTCAATCTTCGCCAGCACCCGCACAGCACCAGCACCAGCACGATAGCCACCATCACCACCAAATGCAAATCCCTGCCAGCACAACCACCTCAACTCAACCACCGAATGCCCTGAGCCCTACACCCCAAGCCCTTGCAACCTTTTAGGCAAAGTCACACGTACTTTAGTTGGGGTTGGACTATATCATCTGTCACGACTCTACCTACTACTTCCCCTGGTCCTTCAAGTAAACCCAATCCGGGACACAAAGCAAACCCCTGAATCTGAAACCCAAGCTTTCAAGCTCCATAAAGTCTTAACCTTAGTTGTTTGGCTTGTAGGCCCTCAACTTCGACTTCTGAACCGTAAACCTAAATTACAAAACTCGCGCATGCATCCTCAACTTCTCACGGCTTCGGCCCTTAGAGCTCTGACCCGCTGCTTGAAGGTTTAGGGGTCTTAGTAACTAGGGTTATAGGTAACATAACTACACCTGCAATTGAGTATAACCCCAATTCAAGTGCTTATAACTGTACTTAATAAGTCCCATGAAGCTCCAAGTAAGAATCCCATAATATTTGTTTTCGTAGAAGGCAGGGTTTCTATACTAGGAACCATTATTATGATTTGGGGCCGTATCCCCCATGACAGTACCTAGAACCCTTTGTTACAGCTTGAACCCCTAAACCCCTAAACCCATAAACCTAACCCCTAAACCCCTAAACCCAAAACCCCTAAACCCTAAACCCTAAACCCTTAAACCCCTAACCCCTAAACCCTAAACCCCTAATCCCTTAACCCTTAACCCTAAACCCTAAACCCTAAACCCTAGCCCTGAACCCTAAACCCTAAACCCTAAACCTGGGCCCCTTCGGCTCTTGCCAAGCTGCGTCTCGGTTTTGGCATCCCGGGAGCCGGGTGGGCGGACGTGGACCTGCCGCGTTGAGGGCTTAGGGGTGGCTTAGGGTTCTATAGGGTTTAGGCATTAGGGTTTAGGGTTTAGGGTTTGGGGTTTGGGGTTTGGGTTTAGGGCTGAGGGTTTTTAAGGGCTCTGTAAGGCGTACCACAAGGGTGTCATGGGACTTTGGGCTCAGGGTTCTCTAAGGATTCTATAAGGGTACCACAAGGGTAGTATAGGGTATAGGGTTTAGGGCTTAGCGTGCAGGGTTTCGGGGTCTAGGGTTTAGAGTTTAGGGGTGTTGGGGTTTAGGAGTTTAAGGTTTCGGGGTTCAGGGTTTCACGACATTCAAAATGGAAAGGGTGCCGGTTTTGGTTTCAGCATGTTCCTTCCGGATGTGTCTTGGTTCGCTGGACGAAGTTATGAACAATCACGCAACTCACCGTTCGATCTGGCCGCGAAGAACTACCACTCCTCTCGCTCTCTCTCTCTCTCTCTCTCTCTCTCTCTTTCTCTATATATACATATATACATATGGAACAAAGCCCTGCACTTGGCAATGCTTTGCAGTAAACCCAAAAATCTGCAAGCCGGTCTCGTTCCAGCCCGTTTGCATTTCTATGTCGTGCCGTCGCTCCCCTCAAGCACCCTTTGCCCTAAACCCTACACCCCTAAACTTTCAAACCCCTAAACCCTAAACCCCCGCCCCCAAACCCTCAACTCTAAACCCTAAACCCTAAACCCTAAACCCTAAACCCTAAACCCTAAACCCTAAACCCTCAACAACCAAGCGCCTCCAGCGCGGAGATGCAGCGATGTCTCGCTCCGGAGGTCGCAACGTCCCTCGAAGCTTCCGGAGCTGGTTTAGGGGTTTAGGGTTTAGGGTTTAGGGGTTTAGGGTTTAGGGTTTAGGGTTTAGGGTTTAGGGTTTAGGGTTTAGGGTTTAGGGGTACTACAGGGGCTACCATAGGGGCTGCTATACGGGTTCTATAAGGGTTTAGGGTTTAGGGTTCTATAAGGGTTTAGGGTTTAGGGTTTAGGGTTCTATAAGGGTTAATTCAGGCAAGAAGGGGCCCTAAACACTAAGCTGTTCAGGTTAGCGCATGGTTGGTGACGTGTGTTCAATGCGGGCCTGGCTTCGGTCCAAGCCTTAGTGGAGTGGTTGAGGTATATGGTGGTAATACAGACAGATATCAACCGCTATAAGGGGGATACCATACCATAGCTATAACCACCTACTCAGACTATTGCATTACGATTTTTGTTGAAGTGCTAAGGCAGATTGTGTAAGATTTGTTACGGTCTTGTCTGAGGGCTCAGCCTGAGATAGCTGGATAGTGGAAAGAAAGAATGGACATGATCTCATTTTGATTTTGAGAAACGGACAACTTTAAGTAATCCAGATCTCCATCGTATGCCAGATGTTGCCAACCCCGCCTTGCTAGCCGGTCTTTGCTTCGTGCCCAGAAACACCATCACAGTGGCACAGCATAACAATCCTCATTCCACTGTCACCGTCGCCAAAGTCATCCCCGATCTCTGAATACGAACTCCTGCGGCCGAATTTCAGATCCCTCCCCGTCCTCTCCTCTTCGGCCCTACCTGACCCTATAAAAATCGACCTTTTTCGGGTTCCTTATTATGATTTCCTCTTCAAGTCCTGAGAAGGGAGGTTATTTGGTGTTAAGGTAGCCCTAGACTGAGAGCCCGTGCTTTAAGTTGCTTCCATTGCGCAGCTGCGTCGCCACAAAGCGCAGCCTGCCAGGGAGTCATGTTGTAAACCCAGCCCCAGCAAGAGATTCGATGTGTCGTGGACGGTAATCACTTGTACCTGGTTCTATCATGCTAAGGCACATGGCGTCATGGTCGTCATCATCATCGTCATCGGCATCGTCATCATCATCATCCTTATGCCACCCGCGACAACAATCATGATCTGACGAAGATTCTCATCTTCCTGACAATCGTCACCACCCTAAAAGGGACAAAATCAACCACAGCTGGTACAGGTTTGGGGGTTTGGGGTTTGGTGGTTTAAGGGAGAGGTGGCAAGAGTTTAGGGAGATGTGAGCACAAGCAGAAAACATGCAGAGCCTCTAATGTTGCGATGAGAGCCCCATGTCCGGCGCACATTCACCCATACCTAAACCCTGAACCCTAAACCCTTCACCATAATCCCTAGCATTCGCATTCATGTAGAGTCCAGGTACATCTTCACCAACAAACCCTAGCCATCCAAACCCTTGTACGCGGCGCCAAACCCTCCTACCCTGAATTCCAAAGCCCCAACCGCAAAGCCCAAAATCGCAAAGACCAAAGACCTCAAAAGGCCCAATAGGTTTAAGAAAAGTAAGAGCGGCTCATAGAAAATCCACAACCGTAAGAGCTGAGAGTACCGGCGCTTGAAACAGGGATCGAAAGAGCTCGAAGAGTAGAAGCTGCAACTGTAGACAAGCCCTAAACCCTAGACCCTAATCTCTAACCCCAAAAACCCTAAACCCTAGACCCTAGACCCTGGACCCTAAACCCTAAACCCTAAACCCTAGAACCCTAAACCCTAAACCCTAGACCTCCATCGGATCGCACTAGCCAGTTCAAAAGCTCTTGCAGCAGGGGCCCCAAAAAGGAACCCCTAAACTGCAGGGCTTAGGATTTAGGGTTGAGGGTTTAGGGTGTAGGGTTTAGGGTTGAGGGTTTAAAGTTTAGGGTGCAGGGTTTAGGGTTTAGGGTTCTATTTAGTTTATTTTAAACCCCGAAACCAAGCCCCTAAACCCTAAACCCATATAGAGCCCTTAGACTAGAGGAACCCTGGCAGTACCCTGTAATTAAAGAAACCGTTGGAGTACCCTTTAATTACAGGAACCCGTATAGCCCTTATTGCTTACAGTACCCTTTCGCGGCACCTGGAGAACTGGTCTTGAGGAGACGCCGAGGTCTGCAGGTTCTCCTTGTTCTCCCAGCGCACGGTGCTGCCAGCCTTTCCGGATGTTTGGGTTTAGGTAGGGTTAGCCCTAAAGGGACTCTTGAAGGAACCCCAAACCCTTCTGAAACCCAAACCCTTAAAGCAACTCTAAAAGGAACCCTGGGCCCCAACCCTTAAAGGGTGTAACGTCTCGGGCTTAAGGTTGAAAGTCTTGGGTTCGGGGTTTCAGGGCTCAGGAAGTTTAGATGCTTATTAGGAGTTATGCGCCTTAAGGCACTTTCGGACTTGGGATTTGTGATGGCAGTGCAAAGCATCGTTTACCCATTTTTGTTACCCTATAAAGCTTTGGGGTTTATTGCCGTCGCGCATTGGAGCTAGGAGCTGCCAAGGTTTGATTTCAGGTATCAACTCAGAAGGGCGGGCTTGGGGTTCAGAGTTTAGGCGGTTTAGGGGCACACAAGAGTTGTAGAAAACCCTGGCGCCACTAAACCACCCAGTAAATGCAGAGACTGAGAGCGGGAAGTGGACGACGGTCGTGTCAGACGTTGGTGGATGGCTAGAAAGATGATGCTGTCTTGATGGCGGTGATGAAACTCACTGCTGCTGCAACACTATCTTATATACTGCGGCCTGAGCCTAAGACCTGCGACTTTCCAGCTGTATGGGTGTAGCGTTGATGCTTCGGAGCCCTCAAAAGATGGGATGGGATGAAAGGGTCCATGTGGCTGCAGCTTGGGGCTCAGAAGGTCCGGGTGTGAGCTTATGCGATTTTGGTAGGTGCCAATCTAGAGGCCTTTTAAGGGAGGAACCCGAAGAAATACTGCTACCAATTATTCGGGCTTGTACAGTGTGGCTGCTGGTGCTACTACGGTCTAGGCAATGGGGTGCTATGATTCCTTCTTATCGAGCGAGCTCGCTACCGTTGTTGATAGGCCCAGTCCTTCGAATTTCGACCACGTACCTTTATCAGCATCAGTAGCATCTAACTAGTATGTTACAACATGTCATGACATACGATGTCCGTGGCACTCTGCTGCAACCGATTGGTAACAGAGTATACATGACATCTTGTAGAGCTGTCAGGAAATGCACCACAGGCCCGCTATCGAAGTTAGGGATGCTGCTTAGGGGCCTTGACAATGAGGTTTCCTACCATTTAGGTGTGTGGATTAGAGGATTAGAGCATCGCACTGTCTTCAACTCTCCCTAGGTTTAGCATTCAGGATGCTGCATTTTCAACCAGACAGGTTTCAGGCTGTGTAGAGTAGCCGGCCTTAACCATGGCATTTGCCTGGTCAGAGGAGATGACACAGTCCTGGCTGAGAGCTTGGAAATTTGCAGAGCTCTTAGGTGGCGCCTTACATCGGTTGTAACTGGGTGCCTGTTTTATATAACTCTCACATCACTTGGGGTCAGGTGTTTGCGGCGGGTGTGGGCTCAAAGTGGGCTACTGCTATCTCACCTCGCTCAAACCCCGAACCCTAAAGCCCTCCTGACCATTTTACCTGCTCTGTGTCACAGACGGAGCTCTACGAGCTTCAACTGTACACATCTGCACACTGTCCACGCGACACACACTCCTATGGCTTGGGTTTCCCACCCTCGCTAAGGTTTAGGGGCTAGGGCGGATATACCCTTATGAAATCCCAGCAGAATAAGTATATGTTTAAAGAAGAAAACTAAACCATGCTATCCTTATCTAAAGCTTGAACCCGAAAACTCTCAGCCCGCACCCCTAGTCCCCAAACCACCCCTAACCCTCCTAGCCCCAACCCTGAACCTAAAGCTCTAAAAACCTTGTCAGAACCTAGTTAACCCCTTCCAAAGCCCTTTCAAACCCCTGTAAAACCCTAAACCATAAAACCCTAAAACCCTAAACCCTAAACCCTAAACCCTCAAACCCCAAAACCCTAAACCCGAAGCAACCCTTAAACCCCTAAACTGCCCGAAAACTTCTCACGCTTTGGGCCTCGTAGAGCGCTTCCACGATCCGGCTCCAGACCTTAAGATACTGCGGGCTCACCCGTTTTAGGGTTTAGGGTTTAGGGGTTAGGTGTTTTGGGTTTGGGGAGTTTAGGGTTTAGGGTTTAGGGGTTGGGTTTTGCGTTTGGGGCTTTGGGGGTTTAGGGTTTAGGGTTTTGGGTTTTGGGTTTTGGGGTTTAGGGCTTGGGGGTTTAGGGGTTAGGGGGTTTAGGGGCTTAGGGTTTAGGAGTTCAGGGGTTGAGGGTTTTGGGCCTCAGGGTTTTGGGGTTTTGGGTTTTGGGGTTTGGGGTTTTTACGGGGTTTCACAAGAGGCACTATGAGAGGTACCGTCAAGGTTTCCATGGGGTCCTAACACCTGGTACTACAAGGGAGTTTCGATGAGGTTTTTTGAAGGGCACTGCAAAGGAGTTTCTGTAAGGGTTCTAGAAAGGCTTTAGGGTGTTAAGGGTCTAGGATTTAGGACTTGAGTTTATGGTCGCAGGGTTTGGGTGTTGTTGGACTCACGGTCCTCTACGGGTTCAGAGACGGTGTCCTAAGTGATCGTGTGCCGGTTTTCAAGATTTTTACACCGGCGTTGACGGGTCTTGTTCGGGCTTCTTCAACGGCACACTCACAGTGTTTGGTGCTTCGTTTAGAGGCTCCGGGTTTAATTACGATGGCTCAGGTAAGGCTTCAGGGCTTCTTGCTCAAGATGTCTAGGCTGCTCCATAAGTCCATGGGATCAGAAAAAGTGACGGTGCCTCGGACTGCTGTGAGGTCCCGCCCAGGCTGCTTACTGCCAAAAGTTTAGTCTAAACCCTAAACCCCTAACCCCTAAACCGCTAACCCCTAAACCGCTAACCCCTAAACTCCTATATAAACCCGAAACCCTTCAAACCCTACTCCAACGCGAAAGGCGCCATGGCCACTTGGAGGGCAAAACCTGGTCAAGGCCTGACATCTTCAGGCCAAGGCTCAAAACCGGAGGGCCCAAAAGCACCAAGAACGGTTAATCTCAATCTAGGGTGTAGGGTTAAGGATTTAGGGATTTAGGGATTCAGGGATTTAGGGATTTAGTTTAAGGGTTTAGGGGCTCACATACTCTCTTGCCGAAGCCCTAGGAAATCTGAGGCCCGCACCATGCGCCAGGAAACGCCGAAGACCTGCTGCATGGCTTCACCGTCCGTCAACCTCGGTGAGGAGATAAGGAGAGGCTAGGGCCGGGGGTTAGGGCTTAGGGCTTAAGGTTTTGACGGGGCAGAGTATCATGATGCCTAGTCCGGAAAGAAAACCGTTTAGGGTTGGGGCGTTGAGCCGTTTTGCTCACATGATTCCAACAGAAGCAGCAGCAGGAGGAGCGGCAGCAGCACCCCGACCACCACCAGAAACCACCGGAGAAGCAGTACACCGAAACCGACACCCTAAACCCTACACCCTGACCCTAAACCCTGAACCTTTAAGCCCTGAACCCTTAAACCCTAAACCCTGAATCAAATACCCTGAACCCTTCACTTCGTCCCAAGGGGCCGAATGCGATGCGCGTGCCGCCGCGGCGTGGCCACTTCCGGAACACGGCCCGTGGTGCCAGAGTCCAGGTCCTGCTGCAGCTTTACTCTCTTTAGGAGCTATAAGGCAAACGGTTTAGGGTGTAAGCTATAAGGCAAAAGGTTTAGGGTATAAGGGTCTATGACGGTTTAGGGTTTAGGATTTATAGGTTTATGGGTTTCTGCCCTTATGGATTTGGGGGTGTAGGGTTGAAGCTTTAGGGTTCACGACTTAGGCTTTGGAGCTTTGGGTTTTGGAACTTGGGGAGGCTGTAGGGTGCAGCTCAGCGACTTCCCGTCCCTGGGAGTCTTAGAGTCATAGGTCTTGTAGGATGTATATAGGGTCTCAAAGGTTTAACAGGGCTTATGGGGGTCTACTGGGGGTACAAAGACTCTAGCTGCGGGGTTGAATTTCGGTCCTAAGCGGGGTGCACAGCTTACGATGGCACAGTGCTCGGTTGCGCAGTGCTCGGTTGCGAGGAGAGACACCCTCCCAAACTCCGAAACTAGAGCCCTAAACTCTAAACCTTGATTAAACCACAAAACTCCTGACCCATGAATAAACCTAAAATCACAAAACCACCGACCCCATGCAACCCTGAACCTCAAACCCCGAGCCGGAAACACGAAGTGCATCCATTTCTTCGCATCCCCGTCCAGATGGCGCAAAGCCGTCGAGAGGACCTAAACGCTGGCTTGAAGCTGGGAACCACTAGGGGAGCGATTCCTTCGTTCTTCTTAGGGCTTACGATGTAGGACAAGATGTGGAGGCTAGGGTTGCGGGTTCAGAACTGAGGATTAGGATGACGAGGTTTTAGGGTTTAGGACTCAGGATTGGCTTGGGATGATTAGGGTGTTAGATTATACAATTATCTCGGAAGAAAAGTAAGAAGCACATTATATCACTGCACAACCTAGTTGAAGTCGCCCTATACCCAAATCCCAATCCGGGTTTCGGCACGTCTGAGCCGAGGGGCATTTCGCAAGCCGCGCCATTCACCCATGCCTGGGGCAACCGGGAATTCGAGGCTGTAGGGTTAAGGGCTTACTCGCGAGATCTACCGAAATTCGAACATTTAGCTTCTGATGTGCTCGTTTTAAGACGTTGATGACCGTTAATGGTGAACTATTCGAACATATTCGAACAACCACCCGTGATCACCTCGGCAGGGTGCTGTAGGATTCTGGTGAAGTTTTGGATTTCAGCATGCGGCGGTCGCCCCGGTGTTTCGGCGTGAGCGTGCCCCTTTCGAGACTTCAGGGTGCAGGAACTCAGAACCACCAGCGAAAGCTCTGCAACAAACTTCTGGAAGAAAACCCCCCAATTCCCTCCATTCGCCTACGCTCAGAAATGTCTTAAACCCTGAACTCCTTTCAAACACGTTCAGGCCTTCTGCCACCCACCACAAACCCACAGAACCCTGCTCTAACCTTGCGACACCACGTGTTCTACAAGCAATAGAAAAAGAACTGATGCAAAATCCAACAAGGCCCCACACCCTAAACCCCAAAATCCTCATAGACCCCTCTAATCCCACAGCACCCTCAAAAGGCCCCCAAACCCCAAACCCTATGTAAACTCTGCAGCCCTGAACCAGAAATCTTACATCCAAATACCCTACAGCCCTGAAACCCCTAAAATCCCCGACACACTGAATCCGAAACCCTTATATGCCCTCAGTCCTAAACCCGAGCTCACTGAACCCTGAACCCTGAACCCTTAAACGACCTTTAGAGAACCCGTATAGAAATTGTATGCCTTATAAAGCTTAATTCTGGAAGCGTTATAGCCGCCCTGATAAAAATCTTGTAGAACCCCCACGGAAACCTTGTGGAACCATCATAGAGACCTCTTAGAACTCCTGAACGGAAACTGCAAGTTGCCATAGCCGAACACCGCCGTCCCGGCCTCGGATCATCTGCACTTACAAGTTCTTAGACCAGCTCACACAATGCTTTTTGCAATGGCTTTGAATCATTGAAGAGATCGAACAAAGGATTTTGCTAAGGCATTTGGGTTTTCGGCTTAGGGTTTAGGTTGTGGGAGGTTTCAGGCGATAGGACTCGGGCTTGGTGGTTTCAGGGGTCCTCCAAGCAGAGGGTTCCACAAGCTTGCTGAACGGCCTTGAGGGCCCTTCATTTATAATCTGTATGTGTAGACAGATAGATAGACAGATGGACAGATGGACAGATAGATAGATAGATAGATAGATGGATTACATACATGCATACATACAGACAGACATGTATACAGACATAGACAAACAAACATAGACAAACACTTACAGACACAGACAGACACAGACGGAAACAAGCAGACAGACAGAATTGCATACGTACTTATTCGAATACTACATACCGTACTTTATACGTGGATGTCGTTGACAACCGAGGATTCCGACACGCATGGGACGGTCTTAGAGTCGCTTCTGGGTTCTGAGTGGCATACTCCTTTGGCTCCACGAAGAAGTAGCATCCATTTCGCTCCCTTGTAAAACCGCATGTACATTGAAGTACACTACAACCTCGTCTCACCGACTAGCCCAAACAGTCCTGCAGTGGATGTTTTTTTTCCGCCCTTCTCCACATGATGACTTCCTTCGGTGGTTTCGTCACATACCGGGAAGAGGTCCTTCCCATGAATTCTCGTGCAGTTTGCATATGTACCCACAGTACTCAAGCAACTGCTGGTTCTCCCAATGGGCTTTGAGTAGCTCGTGCTCCTGCTTGAGCTTCGTAATACTGCGCTGCTTTGCTTCAACTTCTGCGTGCAGTCCTCGTCGACGCAGGCGGGCAGCTTGCCATTGCTCTGTGTGGATCTTCCTCGCCCGTTCTTGGCCTGCGGCGTCCAATCCCTTCCCAAACCTTTGGTTCCCAGTGAGGCCCGCAAGCTCAGCTCTGACTTCAGCAGCATTCTCCGGCGTCAGGCTCAAAGCGAGCTGCGCCTGCTTCGCTTTGCAAAGCAATCCGGCGTCCAACAGGCGTCGCAGTATCTGCTTGCACTTGGGCAAGCCGCTGACCCAAAGTTCGCGTGCATGTCCGCTGAACTTCTCAAGTGTTGCATCTATGCCTGATGTTGTCTTCAAAAAATCACGAAGACTCCGCAGCACTCGAGGATGCTTTTGCGACACTGCCAATTGCAGCGAGGCTCCGCCAAGGCACTGCTTGATACACCCCTCTGCATCAAAGAAGCCGGCAAAGTAGCTCCAGCTGCACGACCCAGCGCCCGCTGAATCGTGCTCCTTCAGCTCACGTAACTCGGCCTTGCAGTCCTCTCTTAGCGATTTTGTCTTTGGCCATCGGGCCGCAATCAAAAGCTGCTTCTGCTTCGTGATGCTTCGTAGTGCCAAGAGCCTTGCTGCTCGTCGGGCCGAGTCGCCGCAAACTTGCCAAAAAAGCACTGGCTTTATCAAGCCCTTGCCCCCTGCTAGCCGCGAGATGCTCCCACCGAATGCTTCGCGGAAGAGCATGAGAACTTCCGCCTGGTCGTAAGACTGCCCCACCACCAACTTGCATCCGGACAGATCCGTCACACAGCTAACGCAGCCATCCCCGTCGAAGAAGCCGGCCAAGTACTCCAGCCTGGCTTTCGCCGGCCGATGTGACGGCTCTCTGCTCACGGCTCGCAGCGGCAGGCTGTAGGTGCGTCCGTTTGCACAAAAGCACTTCAGCTTTGGCCATGGGAACTTCGTCAGCAACTGTCGGAGAGATTCAATCTTTCTTCGGATTTCCGGCAATGTGTCGTCGGGATGTGCAGATGAGCTGAGATACTTTGGCAAGTCTTGTTTTTTGCATCGGACTTCCTGCAATGTGTCACAAGGTAGGGTGCAGTGCGTCCCGGCCGCAGCAGTCGCAAAACCTTCTAGGCTGATGCCGGGCCAAACACACAATACCAGTAACAGACCCAAAACTAAGCCGTTCGACCAGCCTCTCAGGTGTCCCCGCTTCCTTCTCGCATACTCCACTTCTCGCATCACTGTGGCTGGTCGAACAGTTCAGTTACCGTCTCGGACGGTAGCGGGGGGGCAGCTTGAGCCCAAAACCCCTGGACCGCTGCGTCGAAGGAAGAGACTCCAGCAGTGGCACTGAGCTCTAAAACTGAATGTTCCCGCACCGTCTAGCAAACCTGCTAAGACCTCAAAACTCTGCCCTACCTTCAGACATCAACACACTACAGTGCACAGACCTTGAAGACCTTAAGGCATATAAGACCTGCTTTGCTGCCCGACATAGCTTTTGGTGACAAAGGGCCATGTGCAGGCTGGGGTTAAGGCTCAGGGCTTCGTGACTCTTGAGGAACGGGTGGTAACACATCGACTTCTCGGGCATCCAGGAATGAGCGGCAACATGGAACGGAATGATGTCGAGCATTAGAACAAGCCCTGAAAACCCTCAACAATTGAACCTTAAACCCTGAACCTTAAACCGTCTGCCTGCCTGATCTGAATGGTTTTGGGGCAGGATCGGTGAGCTCGCAATAAGGTTTGTTGCGCGGTTGGCTGATTGCGAGCGGAGTTGCACTAAGGTTCATTGGTGCCTAGCCTTTCAGGGTTTCAGTCTGCTCGACCCCAGCTTTCAAACTCATAGCAAAGCTTTATGATACCCGTTGAGAATTCGGGCTTTCGGGTAACCCAAAACCCAAACCCTTGTTCCCGCAAATCCTAAACCATGGCCTACGACCTCAAGCCCTTCAGAAGCTCAACACAGTCCTCCCAGAGTAAAGCTGGATACCGGGCCCTTAGAGCCTTAATGTAGGGGCCTGAATAATTAGAACAGGGTTTTGGGCCCGTTAATTATACTATAATTATACCAAGGAACCCCAAAAACAATATAGGTAATTATTTAGGCCCTTAGAGCCTTAGGGCTTCTGCTTCAGGGCCGTTCTCTTGCTCCTGCCCTCGCACGGGAAACTTAGATCCGAAGGACCTCTCCTAGGCTGCTGGGCTTGACCTCTCAATGGCTTTAAAGGGGCCGGCACGAAGTGCTTTAAGGGGCTTGGGGTTCTTTGGGGTTTTGTTTCCAGGGTGGGATTTGCAGATTGTTGGCTTTGAGGGTTAGTTCGGGCTGTCGCTACATTAAACCTTGCCAGCGAGAAGCGTAGAAGATGTAGTAGATGTCCTCAGCTGCAGCCAGGATGTGGCAGACTCCCGCCGATCATCCCTAAACCCTGCATCCTTGAACCCGAATTCTTGGAGACAAACCTATACCAGCTTAGAGGTATTGACATGCAAGGCTTTTGGGTTGCAGCGTGCACTGAAGGAATAACGGCATGGTGCTTCGGAACAGTAACAGGAAAGCTCCTACGATTGGGACTGTGACCGCGATAGCCAATCCGACAGTGCCTGCGACAACTGACGACGACGACGACGACGACGAGAGCCTCGGCTACGACCACCACAACGACGACTGATGCTACTACGTAGTGCTATTGCCGGCTACTGCGACTGCTGCCGCAGCTACGAGTGCTACTGCGACGGCTACTGCAACTGTTCGCGCTCCTCCTGCTGCTACTACTGCTGCTGCTACTGCTGCGGCTACTGAACATGCTACTGTTCCTGCCAGTGGTGGTACTGCTCCTGCTCCCGCTCCTGCAGCCTTCTACTGCTGATGCTGCTGCAACTCGTCTCCGCCTCCTCCTCCTTCTACGATTCCTCCTCCTCCTCCTCTCCTCCTCCTCCTCCTGCTCCTCTTCCTGTTGCTGCTGCTGCTGGTACTACTGCTGCTGATAATAAGTCTGCAGCTGCTACCGACTGTTGCCACTGCTGCTGCTGTCATAACTTATCATTGGTGTGGCCTCTTCTCGCAGTGTTGCTGATACAGTTGCCATTGGTAGTGCTGCCGTTGTGGACTCTGCTACCAAGTTGAGAACATGACCACAAGGTAGCAGTAAACTCCCTGGTCCTTCGGACTGTGTTGTTGCGGTTCTCCATATTTCGTTCGTGATGCTGGGAATCTAAATGTTTGATCTATGTATTCTTGTCTGCCATGTCTCGAAGAACGCCGTGAGGATCACAAGGCTCCAGACCAATCCGAGGCCACCAACGCAGGAGTAGCAGTCACTGGAAACGAAGGTGAAGTACTTCGTTCTGCCTGGCATCTGAGCACGCCCATATTATCTCCAATCTAGATGGGTGCTGCATCTCACCACATACACTGCGAAATGTTGCCGAAACTCACGTCTTCACCGCCAGAAATATTCAGAATTGGTTTCTCAATGCAGTCAAGCAGCGTAAGGCGCAGGTGTCTCCACAGAAGGCATCTTAGTCGCTCTGAGCTGCACATTCAACTCCCAGCAACCGACCCTCAAGCCCCCAATCCTAAGCCACTATGTACATGTTTTAGCTTTGGGGTGTAGGGTTTAGGGTTTAGGGTCCGCCCATAAACCCCTGCAGCTCAGCCCTCCCTTCAAAGGAAACCCTGATATCACGAACAACCCGGAAGAGCAAAGGACAGCGCATTCGCCGTCAAGAACGCATCTAACACTGCGCAATAAAGCCACCCTAAAGCCCCATATAAACCCTGGGCCAACAGAAGTGAAAACACTAAACGAAACAACATCTCGCGGACACCCTGTTGGAAATCCCCAAAACTCTCAACCCTAAACTCTAAACCCCCTAAGCCCTCTAAAATCTACACTCTAAACTCAAAAACCTAAATCCTAAATCACCTCTAAAATCCACAACCCAACCATGCCAAAAACCTTCAGCCAGCCTTCTCTTAACATGCCAAGCAACCGAACTCGAAGTCAGCGATCAGCGGCCTGGCTGGGGAAACGCTTCTAAGTTTTAGGGCTTCTGTGAAGGGTGCAGGGTTTAGGGTTTAGGGCTTAGGGTTTATGTTGAGGGTTTTGGGTTTAGGCTTTTAAGGTTAAGGGGTTTTTGGGGTTTTATAGAGTCTTTGTAGGGTCTTTACGGGTCTTGTCAGGGCTTCTCTTTAGCGCTCTTGTTGAGGAACTCGTAACCTTGCTACGTCCGTCAAGCAGACACTCCAAGACCCAGAATTTCGGGACCCGTTAGAGTATAGGGTTTTGTGGTGTAGGGTTTGGGGGGTTGCCAGGGCGGTGGGCTTCTAGCGCCTGTCGTTTAGACCGTAGCACCAAACTCTAAGCAAGAGAACCCCGGATTAAGGCGTTTGGGGGTCTGGGGTGTAAGATGCAGCCAGTAAAGTTTATTTAGAACTTTAGAATTAGGGTGTAGGGTGGACGACTTAGGGCTTAGGTTATGTTTTTCACTCAGCATGTTTTTGACGCTGCGCAGCGCTTAGGATAGATGGCTTCGAGAAGGTCATCACGTTCAACAGCTATTCCACGGTCGAAGATCTTGATTGACGGATCAGGGACTTGCATGTAAGGCTTTTTGACAAAATCGTTGTACGTGTGGTTAAGCATATTTCAAACGGGTTGATACCGTGCGTATGGCCTTAAGCCCTACATGTCTCTCATCCTCCGAGTACACTTAATAGTTCTGCAAGGCCAAGTTCTGAAATCTCATGGGCTGTTCAAAGGGAGCTTAGGGCTTATAGCTTAGGTCTTAGGGTTTAGGGCTTAGGGTGTAAGGCATAACCCGTAATAGTAAAGCCCAGGGACACGATAAATCGCATCTCGAAGAGGAAGCAGGCCAGAAGCCTGGAACAGGAGCAGCTGTCCAACATGCCTCCTGCTTTGCTTGAGCTTTGTCTAACACTAAACACCAAACCCTATAAAATAGTAGGGTATCAGCCCTTCATTCTAGGTTACATCCCCAACATCCTCAAACAAGAGGGTTTTGGACCGACAGGTGAATAACAAAAAACCCTGACCCCGCGGGTTTAGGGAAATTTGGGGTTTTGGCTCGGAGGCGTTAAACCTGAAGCGAGAAGTGTGGGGCCTGATAAACGGAAGCTGCAGGCGAGCTTCAGTTTCCGTGTTCAACTACGCAGATCAACACTACACTACCTTGAACTACCATAACCTACTTTACTTTTTTGTAGGTCCTTATTGTAAACCCTAATACAGAGTTTAAAGGGACCCCACAAAAAAGTAGGTTTTGGTAGTTTAAGCTAACTCAATCCAGCTCTCGCTCTACTGAGTTCTGGAATTCAGGGATTGATACTCTTTGCCTTCGAGAGCGTGTCCCTCAACACTATCGTTTGGAGAACTGCTGTGAGGGTCGGCTGGTATCGCTGGAATGGAGCTCCCCTCACAGTTCTAAACCCTAAACCCTAAACCCTAAACCCTAAACCCTAAATCCGAAACCGTGTAAGTAAAGGGCGACGTCAGGGGCGCCAATCTGCTAGTGCTACATAAGAATGATGGAGGAACTCTAGAAATCCCCCCGAACCTCAGCAGGACCAAAACCCTCAGCCCTCAAACCTCGAAAGAACCCTAAACTAAACTCCCGTAGTAGCCCAAGGCAAGCTGCATCACAATCCAGGCAAACTCCCGCAGCAACCGGACCTGGCAGTTAATCTTAGGTTCCAGGCTTCACGGCTTGATAGGATTGTATATTGTTTTCTTCGATTGTGCACGCTTGTTGGGTGCAGGGTTTTGGTTTCAGTTTTAGTGCCAAAAGTGCAAGGGTAACGTGAAGCTACCACTGCCTCGACCTTGTGGAGACGGATTGAGGGTTGGGGCTTCAAGTCCTACACATCCTCGGTAGACACCATGGAGCGACCGGATGGAAACCCACAGAAACGGTGCATGATCCTTGGACCTGCAACAACAAAACCTTACGGGAAAACTCTTCTCGGTGCCGGCCTCCTCTTGCTTCAATCCGGCACTGTCCTGATCCTGTACTGCAGCACCCTGCTCCTTCCATGCGCACTGCTGGATTTAGGGACGTGGTCTCCGTGAGCAAGGCCCCGATCGGCTTCCCGGGTGTTTTAGAAGGCATACTTAAATTGAACGAAAGCATTCACCCCTAAATCCTGAACCCGAAACCCTATTGAACCCTAAACCTCCAACCCTAGACCCTATACCCTAACAGTGTCAAACGGT